TGAGGGGGGTATGGATAATTTTTGTAACTACACAATGGTAGTTTATGTTATCTGGTGTAATATGCAGTCAAAATATTATCTTCAACAGGTGTTCAACTGAAACACTGAATCGGGGGGGGGGTGGCATGGATAATTTTTGTAACTACACAATGATCCTAAAAAAACTCAATTTTTCTCTTTTCGGAGTGTACAAAATCTTGTGCACATGCATAAAGGTATGCAAATACAATAAAACTGACCAAACATGGTGGTTATTTAATCTGTATTTAGAGGATTCACAGCTCAAGCCTACACAGTTTAAAGAGAAGTTGAAACAGATGGAGATCCTGAGGATCAAACCCTGCACCTCTAGCTCTAAAGGCCTCGCACTAACCAATCGAACTATGCCTGCTCTTGAAATCTTGTCCTTAAAACAAAGAAAAATGCAATGTAATAAGCTAGTCAAAATGCTTACCTCAACTGTTTTTGTCATCTTTTCTTTGATACTTGGGTAAGATGATGGAGTGTACAGGTCAGTCAGAAAAAGTGAGTTAAGAAGCGTGGACTTCCCTAGACCAGATTCACCTGAAGAAAAAATATTCTAAATTAAGCATAACTAAAATAAATAAAATTAAATAAAAAAATAAAAGCTATAATAAGACCACAGCAAAAGGGCATGGTTTACAGCGATTTTACTCTGGAACAGGGTCAGGGTTCAGAGGGCTGACTTTAGGTTACCTTATCACGTTAGTCGTATGTTATGCCAGGTCAAAGACTAACTTTACAGCTGTTTATAAAGTTTTGTTTTGATTTGTTGTTTGGCTCGATCGCGTTAATTTCCTTCATTTGAGAGCATTTTCCCCTCTCAATCACGTTCATTTAAGTCGCGTGAATTTAAATTATGTTAATATTTCCAAGCGTTAATTTCCTATAATAAGGTAAATGACTTTCTTTTCCTTTTCAACTTGTTTATCAATCCGTTATCCCATCCTAAAAAACATACGTCCTAGGTTAAAATACAAATATAAGAATATAAATAAATAAAGTTTAAATAAAATACTAATACAGTAAAACCTATCTATATAATAAGATAATAAATGATAATATCAATAAAAACTATATTCTAAAAGAATAATTGCATACACCTATTTGAAAAGACACCTATTTACAAAACTATTCTTAAATCTTACGGCTTTAACTTTAGGTAGTACAAATTCATGATTTCTCTTTCTGAGACTGTGTGTTTTCTTTGGAGGTAAAAGGTCCTTGAGTGAATATTTGGGTGTGTTGATCAAGTCAGTCCACATCTTCAGACCCTGGACCCAGGACCTCAGGACCCAGACAATGGGAGTGACATGCTCAATATACCCAAACTTGCAAGCTCTTTTCTGTAATCTATCAATTTGGTCAAGGTATTTACTATTGAATAAGTAATGTAAATCATGTATAGAGTAGCCATTAGCCTTACATACTCTTAGTATTTATGGTTTTCAACCATTCCCAAGAGAATTAAATAACAAAAGACAAGGCGGCCATGTTGGGGGATATTACAAAAGAATTCATTGACAATTCTTTTAAGTTCCTCCAACATGGCCGCCGTGAAAACCATCAATAAGYTTGAGTACCTCAACATTGTTGAATTACTGTTTACACAATTAGTAATAATCAATTCTTTGAATTAATGAGGACATTTAACAATCTTTAAGCACCCTGCTTGCCACCTCAAGCATACATACGAGGCTTAAGATTAATATAAGATTAATTAAGCCTATCATCATCGGTTTCTCAGAAAAGGATTTAATGAAATATTTAAACACTAAGCTGCAATCTACAATCTTTTTTTATAACTTGTTATAAATCCTGCTACGCATTAATAATACATTGAGTATACTTGTAAACATCTTTCATCCAGCCATGTGCTTGCCATTAAGATAAACTATATACCACTACTATAAAAGCAGCTGTCTGCCATGACTCATGATAAAAGCTTGAACCAAAAATGCCCAAGCTTATCTTGTATATCCAACACAGATTGACAGGAGTGACCAATACTCATTAGTAATACTAGAGAATATAGGGGAAATCTCAAGGGTTTTCTATTTAGTAGGATTAAGATATAAATGATTATGTATATGGTGTATTTTTAATAAGATGAAGCAACAAGTAGAATCTAAGTTGAATTTTGAAGCTGAAACGTTGTACACAATGCCATTGTTGTGGCAGGCACTCCTCTTTACTTGGATTTCAGAACAACAGTAGACTGAAGCCATATTTATTTTGGAGGATATTGAAGCTATGTTACTTAAAGGCACATTATAAATCCTGTTTCACAGATTAAACATAGATAACCTCTAGTTATCAACCAAGATCAGTTAGCAAATAAAAGCTTATCAAAAGAAATGTCTTGGCTTCATGGGCTAATGAAGGAGAGTATCATAAAACATCACGCTCATTTATGAATAAAAACAATGAAAATGTAAAATCGTAAATATTTCACTAGTATTGGCGGGGTTTGGAGCTCAGTTATCAAAATATCTGAAAATCTTGAGTGGATTCCCTTTAGGCTTAAGAGAAAATGCATTAACTCCTAAGAACATATAACACTTCCTTGATAAACTTTCACCATTTGGTTTCCTCAACTGTGTATGAAATTAAATATAATTTAGCTCGTGTCAAAAAACGTGGTTCTCAAGGATGTCGAGATAACCACTTGTTTCTTTGTTGGGGAAATTATTTCCGTTCCCATGAAGGAATTTTAAGTTGAAAAACCGAAATGTCAAGTCAAATTAGATGAATGAATTTTTACTTCCGATTTGTGTGGAGTAACGAATTCCTAATGAAGATTTTGAAATTACTCAACATACGTAATAAGTATTTGTTCAGTTTAGACGTCAAAATTAAAAAAATTTTACCAATATGTATAGTATTTTGAGAATGTTTACCATTCTGCATTAGAATCAATTCAATTTATAAAAACTTACCAAAACAAATGGGTGTTTTTATAAGACAATGAAGCAAGTACGAGGTTTACACGAAACACTTACCAACAACCATAACGGTGAACTCAAATCCCTTTTTGACGCTTTTGCGAAAAACTTGGTTGGGTAGATTAGCAAATCCAACATAACCTTCCATTCCTTTAGAATTCTGTGAAATAAAAATATTTTTTTGGGAAATCAGAGTCAACAAAGACGAGCTAAAGGAACTAAAGTAGATTTAGATTTGAACTTCGAGGACGTCAGCATAGTCTTACTCACCGCTGTATTCGTGGATTTTCGTGAATAAAAACGTTTCGTAGGAGCCACCGAGAAGCAAAAGAAATGAGAAAGCAATGAATTAGAAACTTTAGGGCTTAGGAAGATAAAACCATGGGAGGGAAGTATTGACAGATGAATCAAAAAATCTGAAGGGAGAGCTTCAAAGAGGCAGCTTTGCGCAATGCTCACGCGAAAACTGCCACAAAATCACAGCAGAAACCATAAACTGATATAATTTCAAGCTAGATGGCTTCATTAGAGAATTATCTAGACTTACACATCCTTAGAACGAAGAATAGTAGCTGTTCTTAGCAATGATCGCCAACAAAACACGCCTTTTAATACTTGGAGTTTATCCGTAACCCTTTTACTCGCCTTTGATATGCGCATGCGTTGCTCCTAGCTTGTCAACCGGAAGTGACTTGATCATCTGTGAACTAGCCAAAAAAACCACCAATATCCTTGTGTTTTAGACAGGAAATTCGTATTTTTTTACCCCTATACGATAAAAAAACTGAAACACTAATTTTTTATTGTGTTTGCTAGTATTAGGCATAGTTGTGGATTGAGTTGTTTTCTAGTTTAGACTAAAAGGGAGTGTCGGCCATTTTCACCTGTTGCTTTGGGTCTTTGTTCGATGTCGTCTCCAGGTGCAGATAGAACTTCGGCGTTTGAATAATTTGATAGGATTTTGTAACAAAAAGCGCGTAAATCTTCAATAGTAAGACACACCCTTCTGACACTACGGTAATACGGCAGCACGGTGTCACAATGTATCAGTTTACAATAAATAACCTCAACATTGTTATTATAGACTTTGCAGTTTTGAACTTAAAAATACCAGTAAAATTTGTCAATGTTATGTTTTTTGTTAACATTTGGCACGTTCATGAAGATCAATATTTTATGCAGTTGACAGAATGTCGATAGAATAGGAATAATGCTGCTTCAACTGACATATACGTCGTATATATGTTTTACTAACTGAAAATTCTAATACCAAAATTGATTGACAGAATTCGCATATGTTTGATATTTTTTCCATTTCTTTTCGTTTGCTTTTTTATTCATTTATTTACTAGTATTTTATTTATTTATTTATTTTTATTTAGGCCAAAATTCTTAGAATCATAACTTTCTTTTTAGCCCAATTTTGTAGCCTTTTTTCTGAATCCCAAAAATAATTTCTGATAATATCTAATAATTTTATACTAGTATAAGGACTACTACCACACTGTTTATTATTGTTATGCAGTTCAGGGTTCGTTTTATACTCTCTTTTTTGTTTTCTTGATCAAACTCTTTGAATACTGTTGAAGCGAGAAAGCCGGCCCCCGAGTGTGCCCCGTCGGAATTCACTTCGTTTCACTTAAAGATTCTCATTACTTTTTTTTTTTTTTTTTTTTTTTTTTTTTTTTTTTTTTTTTTTTTTTTTTTTTNTTTTTTTTACAGCCGTAGGTCAATACCGTTACTGAAAGGCATCATGAAAATGTCCTTTTTTTATCAGTAGAATTTTTGGTATTTTTGACTGGTCTCATTCAGAATTTATCAAATTGAAGCATAGAAGCCGTTTTAACAAATGCTTTTATTTTTAATGCATTTTTTGTCGCTATTAAATACATCTTTCTTTTTTCATTTCAGTGTTAAGTGGGTTGGGCTTCCTGTGTTGCGAGCAGCATTCCGTGCAAGCTTCCACTCATGATTCAGTTCCGGTTTTTTACCCAGCCCTTTTTACGTACTTTTAAAGACATGACAAGTTAAAGCAATTCTTCAAAATTTGACAAATACAAATTAGGATATCATATTCAAGAAATCCAAAAAGCTGTGAGAGAAAATTATTCATATATTATTTTACGTGGCATGGCAGTCTTTAAACATTTGATTTTTGGCGGGAATTTTTATTATTATTACAACTGCACAGCGGAGTATCCCATGAATCCAACATGGCGGAATAGCTGGTTTTCAAAAAACAGTCAAAATTACAATGAATTTCGTAATTTTCAGCTTACTAAAGTGGCCGAAATTTAAAATTGTTAGAAGCCCATAGCGTTAGCTAATGGCTAAAAGAAAATATGACGGTCTGGCTCAACTAGTCAGTTCTTATTTTGACGAAGATTCAGAAACTACGACTACGTCTGAAAGTGAAGACGAGGATGAACTACAGATACCTAGAAAGGATGGATGTCTGGAAGTGAATGGACTTGAAAATGCTAAGAAGGTTAAATTGAATCCAGATGAAGCAGCAACCAAAAAGTAAGTTTGGTTTATTTCCTATTAACGGGAAGGCCGGTAGGAAGCAATGAGTGATGGTATTTGCTTTACCCCTTCCCCTACCCCCTTCAATCCCCCCTCCCTTGTATTACTGAAGGGAGGATAAGGACTTCTAACACCCAAACTAAAACCTGAAACAATGTCTTTAAAAAAATACTCATTTACCCCCTCTTAAGTAAAGTCTCAATTTTCTTCTTCTTTATATTTACCAGGGAAAAAACAAGTTTACCTTTACCCACAGGAATCTTGGATATGTTTAATGACAAAGGTATTTTAAAGGCAGGGGTCAAAATGGAAAGCACCAGTGATGTTGTGCTGCTAACAAGAACTGTGGACAAAGATTGGAAAATATAAGAGACTAGTATGGCAAAAGGGAAAATGGGGGAGCTATAGCTCCCCTGTATCCATGGTCCCAGCTTAATGCATCAACTGTCACCAATGCCACCCAAGTTTGATTCCTGCTGGGCTTGGTGTGGTATGTGAGTAGAGTTGTACGTTGTTTCTCTCCTGTGCTTTGTGGCCAGGGTTTTTCTCCATGTTTACCTGTTTCCTCCTTTCATAAAAATCAAAAATCAACTTCTAAATTCTAATTCAACCTTAGGAGATATTATTTCTTATCGGCTTTACATCTTATGTCTCCTTTTGTACTATAAATTATGTGAATAAATTGGTTGTATATTTTTTTATCTTTTTGATATAATTTTGAATAAAAAAAAGAATTATCCTTGGATAACAAACCAGTGGCCCTTGATTCCTGGTCAAACTGGTGATTCCTGGTTATAATGAGGAAAACTGGAGAACCCAGAGAAAAAACTCTCAAAGACCATGAGAGAACCAAAAAACAACTCCACTTACTACGGATCTCACCAAACTGTGGAGACACGCCAAAAATTTGTCTCACTACCACACCCTAATTTGTCCACTGACACGCCTACTTTTGTCACTGTCTTGGATCTAGCATACTGCCAGTAAGGTATTCACTGTAATACATGTAACAAAAGAAGGCGTGACAGTAGACGAATTAGGGTGTGGTAGCAAGACAAATGTTTTGGTGAGTCTGTTGACTAAACCCATTTATTTATTTCATTAATTTCCATATTTTAAATGAACAGAAACATCCAGTTAAGCTTAGGGCTAGGTTAAATGGAGTCCTCACCTCACCCATAGATCATGATGGCTTGAGAGACTAATATATTACATAAACTAGTATTTCCTCTATGAAATAGTACTATTAGCTGTTAATAATTGCTATTATTATCTGGGATTCATCTTAGATTCAGAGGATGCTACTAGTCATGATGGTAGAGTAAGATCCTTTGAGCACTTTCCTGGCAACTGGGCCATGCATGTCTATACTCCATGTAAGTAATTATCAGTAATTAAACAATAGAAAATCTTTATATTACTTATATTTTATGATTATCACTCCTCATAAGGGGCTCRTCCATGGGGTTCACTTCACTATTGCAGGCTTGCACAATGCCAGCTCACATCTATTATTAATATTTACACAACGGAGGAAGAAAACCAAAGTATGTGTAGAAAGACATTCATGGAAGGAAGATAATAACACATGAGAAATACTCAACTCACATCCAGGAATCCAGCCTATTTGTTGATGAGTGGCATGCGCTGTTAGTGTGCCACTGTCTCTCACCAATGTAAAGTTCACATCTGGGGTTGCAGGGTCCCATCAACACAAATGAAAAAGTCATTTTTAAATGCACTCATATAATTGTTTTGTGGACAGTGAAATTACCAGCATCATAAACATATTACAAGTTGTCATGCTTTAGTGGGCTGTTTTTCTTTGCTTGCAAAACTAAAAGGTGGGGGGGGGGGGGGGGAAGAATGATAAAAATATTGTTTATTGTCACATGTACCCTCACCTGAGGGATAGAGGTACTAATCTCTGAAATCAATGTTCATCACCTGTTATGGAGAATTTTTAAGGTTTTACTGGGAGCTTCAAATCAAAATTAGTTTATTCATGTGACTTCAGTTGTCATTTTGTATGTTAATGAAAACACTCCCTGGAAAGGGATAAACTTACAGTAGCTAGATATTTGCTAATACTTATTGATAAATTAATATTATGAAAAACATTGATTCATGAATGGATTTTCTTTAGTTCCAGCTCCAAGATRTCTCGGTCCAACTATTCAGTCTCTGGTTGACAGTTTACCCTCAGCTATTCCTGCTAAAATGCATTTGCTCCCACTGTCTGATCTTCATGTTAGTCTATCGAGAACAGTTCCGGTAAGACACTACTGGATTGAACCAATAGTGGAGCAACTGAGGGATAGTCTTTCCACAAAAGAAAGGTAGCCAAATAAATAGTTGACATGATTTCCAAGCAGTTGAAACAGCAAGAATTTTGATAAATAGAAACCAAAGATTTAATCTAGACATGTTTCGGCTTTCTAGATTAAAACTTTGGTTTCTATTTTTCAAAATTCTAATATGGTTTATATAACACCCTTATTCCATATGGATATGATCAAAGGTTCTTTACAATTTAGTTATAAATTTATGAGAGGTGGTTAGTAATAAATGAGGACATAGCCAATATTAACTATGATGAGGAGTAGGCACTGAAGGTGCTCACTGCCAGGGTTTTAAATCCTCAGTTGGTTACTGGTATACACCTAATTGAAAAAACGTAGTCGGGTTCAAAAAAAGGTTATATCAAAGCTTAAGACCGAAGGGGAGCATGGGAAGTCAAACAATATTAAGTTAATTTTATGCATATTGCAGTTTTCCCTTCCTGTGTACATTTTATGCATCATGGCTTTGGCATGTTGTTTATCTAGGTTGACCAACTTTGCTCTACTGTGCATTTTTACATGTCTACATGCAAATATAATACACATTTCGGAGTACCCAAAATGCTTTCCTGTCTTAGCTTCAATGATATGGCCTTCTCGAAACCGACTACATTTTTTCAATTAGGTGTATGTACTTATAGTAAATGACCAAGTGTGGAGAGACAAGGAACTTGAAACCACAACCTTCTGCAAACATTCCGATGCTCAACCAACTGAGCCAACTAGTTGCATTACAAGTATTTCACATAGTCTTATTTAGGATTTGTCATCTTAATATTTTTAATTGTAATCCATGGCATTCTGTTTTAATCTCTATTTTGCAGGTTTAGTTGCACAATTGAAAAGCCACAATTTTATGTTAATGATGAAAAAAACAGGTAATTTCTTAAAAAAACTCATCAATTATATTTATAATTCATTCTTCAAGATTCTCACAGCTACACTTTCTTTAGGTCGTTCCTGGGGTTAAAAATTTCAACTGGAGAACATCAGGTAAAAGGATTTATAAAATAACTGTTATCAATCTCAAATTCTGATTGGTTGTCAGCCCATGCTTTATGACAGCACACAGCACGCACATGCCCTTTGTATTTTATAAAAGAAATAAAAAACTTGCTTGCTTTGCGTGTGCTGCGTGCAGTTATAAAGCACTTGGGGATTGGTAGAACACTTGAGAACTGTAGAGAAGCACTCTGCTACGCGTCATGCTTCCCCTAACACTTCTCTCATTTTCTGCAGTTCCCTGCATGCTTTATAACTGCACACAGCACGCGCATGCATTTTCTTTCACGAATTGGCAGCTGGCCAAGATTTCTTGGTATCATTTAAAAGGTTGAATCCTGCTTATTACGAATCTGCATGTTATCACTTGAACATAAGTGTCCAAACGGCTTGTTAACCTTGGCCTAAATAACCTTGCATACTCCTTTGTTGCAGAACTTTTTATATTTAATTACAAAAATATTTCATTTTTATGCCAAAATCAAACTCTTAAATGCCTCTGACATCTGAGTTTTTGCATATCTTTTAAATTTGCCTTAATTTATTGTCATTATTTATCCGTCTTTTAAAATTTTGTATTCTCACAGCTCCAGAATCTTATCTCTCTTGTTGATGACGTCTTGGCTGGATTTGCCTTACCAGAGTTCTATAAGGTAATTATGAACATAAAGTACCATTTTTCCCCACCCCTCCCCTCACATGAGTAGAGTTTGTTAGAACACTCCCATTGAATGGAGGGTTCTTTCTAGGAACTTCAGTTTTCCCCCGTCCTCAAAACCTAACATTGCAAAATTCCAATTCTATCTGTTTTTTAGCTATGCTCTGACATTGATCAGCCCAGGATAAATAGACCAGGAAGATCGCCAACATAATTGCATGCAATATTGATAACTGTCATTTTCTTTAGAATCCATCATTTCACATCAGTGTTGCCTGGTGTCTTGGTGATATCTACACTCAAATAACAAAGGATGATGAGGATAGACTCCAGGTATATATGAAGAAGCATGACAAGCATTTTTTTTTCTTTTTTTTTTGATTCTTGAAGACTTTGTTACTTGGTTCCTCAGGCCAAATACAAGTGTACAAATGTTGGGAAGCATGGATGGCGTAGCGGTGAGAGCGCTCGCCTCTCGTCAATGCGACCCGAGCTCGAGTCCCGCCAGGTTCAGTGTTGTATATGAGTAGAGTTGTTTGTTGGTTCTCTCCTGTGCTTCGAGGGTTTTCTGAGTTCTCCAGTTTTCCTTCCTCCGCAAAAATCAACTCCTAAATTCCAATTCGATCACGGAATGAGGGGCACAGGTTTGTTAGCCACTGGCTATTAAATGCTACCCTCGTGGGGAAAAAAAGGACGTTGAACTTCACATGAGCCTAACCTAATGACATTGACATTGATGTGGTTTTTGATGTTCTGCAAACTCGGTAGTTAAGAGCTGCACACTGCAATTGGATTTTTCGCTGCATTCAATCAAAAATAATCAGTCGATACGTTCTCTGTTCTTGACTGGTTGCAGTGAAAACCCAATTTCGCATCAGGCTGTTGAAAAGTTGGAGTTCTCAGAATATCATAAACCACAGTAACACCTTATTTTCCATTGTTATCAATGCCTATGTGGCTCGTGTGAAGTTTAATGTTTGACCTGAGCCTTAGATTCCGTAGAAAACAGTGCGAAGTTATCTATTTGTTTTTCTTTCAGACAATTTTTGATTCTATGATGACAGAGAAATCCTCGAGTAGTTTGTTGTTTGATGTCAGAGAAGTCAGATGTAAGATTGGCAACAAGCTCTTCACCTTTAGTCTTGCTGAATGAAGCGACCATGGGGTGGGCTCATCATAATACATTTTCCAAAATCACTGTAATTTTTTTCTTTTTTTCCTTTTTTTTATTCTCGGATGATTTTGTAGTAGATAGAGTGAAAGAATTAATGTACCCGGTTTTCATTGATTGGACTCTGACCACAGGTAGCCCAAGCTTGGTTTCTGTGGTGTCCTGTTATAAGGGAATGTATGGGGATTCATTCTTTCGCTCTGTGTGGTTAATTTTTGAATTTAGCCCGTTTTAAGGATTTTTTCCCCCACCAGTAAGAAATTATTACTTAATTATTATTAATTATTACTTACTTATTGTTTCTTACTGGTGGGCTACCTGTGCTGTAATCAGATCGGCGCTGTAAACTGATAGCCGGTTAAATTCAAATCAACAGTTGGTGTTTTGTTTCTTATGGGTTGCCTGTGCTGCTTACAGCGCGCAGATATATATATCATTTATATATCAATCAATTTCAAGTGGCCAGTTGTCAATTGCCTATACGTAGAGAGATTTACAACTGTATTCAAGAAAAAGAATAAAGTTTCCGTTACATCGTCATACAAGGAGTAGATGAACCACGATATGTCTAAGATCAAAATTGTGATCTGGGATTGGACAGTGCGCCATCGGGGAATAGACCTCTGGTGTCATCATTTACTTCCGCTTTTATTCTTGGAGACAAGCGAGCAATTCAATTGCGTAGTTTGGTGGGAAGTGGCGGATTCATCGCACAATTACAAGCACAAAATGTCTGGATTGAGCATCGGTTTATCAACTTTTAACAGCTGTAACAAAGCTGGATCCATTCCCCATTTCACCCAACATCTTACCCTTCATCCAAACGATTATCGGGCTTTAACATGGCGGGGAAGAGCTTTAAGCATCGTAGGAAAAGCAGCAGAAGCAAAAGCGGATTTCCAGAAAGCCTGTCGTGTAAGCGATGGTCCAAAGAAACTTCTTGCTCAAGCACATTTAATGAACATCGATGGAAATATGCAACAGAAAGTTGCCATTCTCCAAAATACCACAAGGCAATACCCAAATTGTTCTGAAGCTTGGCATGATCTTGGTAGCCATACTTATCAATTCGAGGGCACAATTGATCCTGCTTTTCAATTCCTGGGAAGAGCAAATCGGCTCGCTACGATAAATTCTGAGACTGAGGATCCATGGTACCCTTGGTGCAATCAAACGATTGGCGACATTTACTTCCACGAAAAACGACAAGTAAATGACGCAAGGGAGCATTACGCAACGGCTGTCCAGTCAAGCAACACCCTAACAGTCGGTCATCTTGGGCTAAGCAGATGCGAGATATTAAACAATAACCTTGCAAGAGCCGAGACGAGTTTCTTGACTGCAAAGCGTCTAAACCCAGTGCTAGTAACATGGGAAAGTTTTGATGAGTTCCGTCAACAATTCATGGCACAACACGCTGTAGCAGGTATTGCTTTTCTGGTCTCTGAATTTTCAAAAGTATTAACCAACTTTACGACTGATGACCAACAGTACTCAGCTAATGGTGGAAACACTCGATCCCAGAGTGGTTATCAAGGTGGAGGATCCGGAGGAAGGGGAAACGGAGGATCGGGTGATGGAAGTGGCAGTGATGGTAGGTATTTTAATCAAAAAAATTATTTATAACAGCTCCAAAATCTAGAGACAGGAGATCTGTATTCGAATAGTTGTGTCTCTCTTTGAAATATTATAATGCTCAGGCAGTAAATTGGAATCATTCGACCTACGACTTTTTGCTAAGTCGGGACTTTAATTTAGTGGATTCAATATTTTTAACATATGAAAGAAGAATGGAGCAACGTCTGACTCGGAAAAATCTGAGCCCAGACAGGAATCAAACCTATGACCCTTCGGATACTAACTCAGTAGTTAGAGCATCCGACTAGTATCCGGAGGGTCGTGGGTTCGGTTCCCGTCTGGGGGCTCAGATTTTTCTGAGTCAGACGTTGCTCCATTCTTCTTTCATATGTTATTCAATTCTTTTCAATATTTTTAGTAGCTAAAATATAGGTACGGATATAGACACTGTCCTTATTGAGTATGAATCAAATTGTGACTTTCTTTCTAACGTTATGGATTTTTTGATATGAAGCTAAATGACCCCATTTGTTGTCAAAAGCGATAGAAAATATCGATGAAAGCGGCATTCAAAAAAATCGTCGAACGAATGTTTTTCTAAATTAAGTCACTGAAAAATGTATCTTTTACAAATATTCTCCTTTAATTTCATATCATTCAACATAGCAATCAATATAAGAATGTTTAGTTCGTCAACTTGTCAATCAGCACTCTAGGAGTTTTTCGCGGATGAATCTGCAGATTTCATTACAATGTTACAAGACTCAGTAGGATTAGAAAGAAAACTACAAGTATATCATTAGGAAAATGATCAATATCGTCATCACATCTACATATTATATTTTTTTGCCACAGAAATAAGGACTGGCTTGATCTTGATTTCTTAAAATTTTAGAACCCATTTTCAGTTTTTTTCTTTTTTCCCCTGTCAGTCCTTTGTCTTTGTGTGTAAATGCGCATTTGTGTGTGTTTTCAATTCAAGTAGTACAGAGTCGTAAATTAACTATTCCTAGTGAGATTTACAATCGTAAATGTAAAACAAAATATGGAGTAAAGTTTCCATTATTATCATTCAAACTTAGCAGTATACTTGTATTTAAAATATGTGATATGAAAATTCATTAACTGTGGGTGCTATAGTAACTCACTGGTGTCCAGGCCCCTGACGACGATTTTAGCTTTTCAGTGATCGCTTTGTTATTTTTGAACTTGAGCAGAAAATTCTTACACTGAAGTCGTAAACTTCCAAACTGTTCACTATAATAAATAATGATATTTAACTTAGACCTTAGACGCTTGAAAAGTTGTACAATGCCAAATTAAAGTAAGGTTACAATATTTATAAGTTTGACCTTTTTTTTTTTTTTTTTTTTTTTTTTTTTCATTTTTATAACAGACGAAGACATGACTCCAGAGAATCTTCGTGAAAGAGAATGGACCAGGATAAAGAAAGAAGCTCCAAGTGCGAAAAAGTATCGTGGCAAAAAATTTTATCAGTCAAAATGCAAACGCTATTGGTACTCCAAAATTGCACCAGCCGAGAGACACGGAACAGAAGTAAAATCATTTTTGAAGAAATACGCCGACAAAGGAAGAACCATTGAGCTGATGTGTTCAATTGACGAAAACATGGATGAAATGCATGGGAAGCACGAATCAGGAAAATACGCTGTCATCAAGAAAAGTGATATGGATGGAATGTCATAGATCTAGGATATTATAAGACTTTTTTTTTCTTCTTTGACTAACATGTGTTTCAAATGATGCTACGATTTAATTAATTAATCCATGTGTATCAAGAAACATTCAAATATTGTCTCCACGCAAGAATCATGCACTTTACACTAACTTGTTATGCAGACGATATCTCAATCTTGTTCGTCATGACATGTTTGATATATCAGCTATAAGCATGCATATCGCAGTTAATTATTGCAAGCTTGTTTTCTTATCTTTTAAGTTGTAGTTAGGACACAGGCAACCCAAGCAATAATGTATTTGTCGTCTGTATCAGTGATAGCATTTACAGTAAATGTATGGGACGTACGAAAAAATGTAATTTGTTTTTTGTTTTATCAATAAATTTGAATAAACCTTGCAATGTTTTAAAGGATTTCTTTGAAAAATTAGCCCTCTAGTAAATAAAAATAGGCTGGCGACTCCAGTTCTCGGCGACACCACTCGTGTTTAATCGGCAAAACAAATGTTTAAATCATCTTTTGCCTCCAAAATCAATTCAACGCCACAGCTCAATGATCCTTCTCTCCAGAAAACTGCATTATAATTTCCTCAGATCCCGAGATTAACTTTTTGAAATCCTCATTAATATTGAGCGATTATCTGCTACACTTTTTGGTCACGCTTAACACGTTACCTTCCTTGATGGCCGTGACATAGAGAAGTTGACTTTGTAGCCGGGCCAAATTTTATAAATCTCCATCTGATTGGATAATCCTCCCCGTCCTCAACCAGGAACGCTCTTCTGAAGGAAATAAATCGATATACTAGCCGTTGCATATTGCAAGTAAAGTGCTGCGAGTAGGCATGTGACTCTGGGTATTTATGGTTGCTGTATATTGTTTATCTAGTGCCTGCCTGTACATTTGATTTATTTGTCTTACTTTAGCTGACCACAATAAAACTGACAACAAGTATAGCAGCTCTCTCTTGCATATAAACAAAAACAAAAAGAAAGTATTTTTTATAAATATATGAACTTAATATAGGTAAACACTACATGTAGGTCATACAGGTCAAAAGTAAGCAGGTATTTATATAATACTAACTTCATTCAGGGAGAAAAT